TATTCTTTTATGCCTTTTCACCACTAAACAGTTTTGGAAATGAGGCCCTCTGCTTTAATTACACTAATTACTATGTATCAATAAGTGATCATGTTAATCTATTTGCTAGTGCAGTACTTTAAAATATTTCCACCTGCATGCACTTTTTTTCAATTTATTTTTTTTAAAAAGATTTTTATTAAAATGTAGCTAACATGCAATACTATATTAGTTTCAAGTGTACACCATAGTTATTCAACATTTATATACCTAAAGATCTGATCACCATAAGTCCAGCAACTATCTGACATTGTACCACGCTATCACAATATTATTGACTATATTCCCTATGCTGTACATTACATCCCCATGACTTATTTGTTTTATACCTGGAAATTTTATTCCTCTTCACCTTTTTATTCTCCTTCACCTTTCCCCCTGCTTTTTTAATTTTTCAATTACAATTCATATTCAATATTATTTTATATTAGTTTTGAGTGTACACCATAGTGGTTAGACACTTAGGTATTTTAAGAAGTGATCCCCCTGACTAGTCTAGCACCCACCTGGCACTACACATAGTTATCACCATATCACTGACTACATTCTCTATGCTTTACTTTACATCACTATGACTCTTTTGTAACTACTAATTTGTACTTCTTAATCCCTTCCCCCTTTTTCACTCACCCTCAAGCCCCCTCCCATCTGGCAACCATCAATATGTTCTCTGTATCTATGAGTTTGTTTCTGTTTTGTTCATTTTGTTCTTTAGATTCTACATGTAAGTGAAATTACATTGCATCTGTCTTTCTCTGTCTGACACTCCACTCAGCACAATACCTCCCAGGTCCATCCAGGCCACTCCAGATGGCAAGAATCCATTTCCTTCCTTGGCTGAGCAATATTCCATTATATATTTGTACCCCCTACTCTTTATCCATTCTTCTATTGACAGACACCCAGGCTACCTCCACATCTTGGCCACTGTAAACAATGCTGCAAAGAACATATGCATGCACATGTTCCCCTCAAAGTAGCATTTGGGTTTCTTCAGATAAATACACTGAAATGGAATTACTAGGTCCTTCTTTGTCTCTTGTTATAGCCTTTATTTAAAGTCTATTTTGTCTGGTATAAGTATTGCTACCCCAGATTTTTTTGTTTTGTTTTGTTTCATTTCCATTTTAATGAAATAACTTTTTCCATCACTTTACACTCCATCTGTGTGTGTCTTTCAATCTGAACTGATTCTCTTGCAGGCAGCATATGTAAGGGTTCTGTTTTCTTATCCATTCAGCTCTGCTTTGTCTGTTGAGTGGAGCTTTTAATCCATTTACATTGAAAGTAATTGTTGATAGATATATAGCTATTGCCATTTTATTATTCATAATTTTGGCCATATTTTTTTTTTCACCTTAAAGAAGTCCCTCTAACATTCCTTGTACTATTGGTGTGGTGGTGATGAACTCCTTTAGCTTTTTCTTGTCCGGGACACTCTTTATCTGTCCTTCAATGCTAAATGATAGCTTTCCTGGGTAGAGTAGCCTTGGTTGTAGGTCCTTGCTTTTCATCACGTTGAATATTTTGTGCCAATCCCTTCTGGTCTGCAAAGTTCTGCTGAGAAATCAGCTGACAATCTAATGGGAGCTCCCTTATAAGTTAACAGTTGCCTTTCTCTTGCTGCTTTTAAGATTATCTCTTTGTCTTTAACCTTTGCCATTCTAATTATAATGTGTCTTGATGTGGGCCTGTTTGAGTTCATCTTGTTTTGGACTCTCTGTGCTTCTTGGACTTGTATATCTGTTTCATTCTCCAGGTTAGGAAAGTTTTCAGTCATTATTTCTTCAAATAGGTTCTCAATCTCTTGCTTTCTCTCTTTTCCTTCTGGTACCCCTATGATGTGAATGTTGTTATGCTTGGTGTTGTCCCAGAGGTCTTTTAAACTATCCTCATTTGGGGTGGTTCTTTTTTTTGTTGTTGTTCCAATTGGGTGTTTTCTGCTACCTTGTCTTCCAAATTGCTGATTTGATCCTCTGCTCCATCTAGTCTGCTGGTGATTCTTTTTAGTGCAGTCTTCATTTCAGTTATTATATTCTTCACTTTTGACTGGTTCTTTTTCATGGTTTCTATGTCCTTTTTTATGCTTGCTATCTCTTTGTTGAAGTTCTCACTAAGTTCCTTGATCATCCTTATTACCATTGTTTTGAACTCTGTATCTGGTAGGTTGCTTGCCTCCATTTTGTTTAGCTCTTTTTCTGGAGTTTTCGCCTGTTTTTTCCCTTGGAAAGAATAGGAAACATTTCTTTGTTTCCCCATTTTGGCTGCCTCTCTGTGTTTGTTTCTATTTATGTATTAGGTAGATTTGCTATGTCTCCCAGTCTTGGCCGGGTGGCCTTATGTAGTAGGTGCCCTGTGGGGCCCAGTGGTAGTCTCCCTGGTTACCTACACTGGGTGCTGTAAGAGTGTCCCTTGTTTGGGTGTATGCCCTCCTGTTATAGTTGAGCCTTGGTCACTATTGGCATGTCAGTCAGTGGGATTGACCCTCAAGCTCATTGGCTGTAGCTTTTTGCTACGTCCACAGCTTACAGGATGCTGTCAGGGGTGGGGTGGGGGCTGACCCCACTGAGTGGGATTTGCTCCAGTCCGCTTGGTGACTGTTGAGACCAGCTGTAGGGTGTGCTGCTTCTGGGGCTAATTGTGTGGTGTTCTGCTGTGGTCTGAAGCCAACCTCCAACCTCCAAGTATGTTAGTTCTGGGGTCTCTTGGGAGGGAATCTGGTGCAGGACCTCGTCACCCACTGCCTGTGACCAGTCAGGGACTACTTGGTAAAAGCTACAAAGTGATCTGTGGCTGTTTGCTGCTTCTGCTAACCCTGGAGGTGCATGGGACAGGCTATGCCATGAACCAAGGACATCTGCCACCAGTACCAGGCCTAGGGGAGCTCCACAAAATGTGAGGAGACCCCAAGGTCTGCTGCCACCTGATGAATCCCTTAAGGTTTAGCTGCTGATAAAGCCTTGTGCAGTATACAAGTTGGGTGAGGCAGGGTCTCAGGGAGTCGCTAGAGTGGGAAGAGTTGTGCTCAAGTTAATGTAAATTCTGATTTGGTGCCAGTGCTGAGCCTGAAGCTACTCAGCAAAAGTCTTATAGCACACTGAGATTAATCGCTGCATACCTGGGGTTTGCCAGTCTCTGATAGTTTTCCAAGAAGGAGAGCAATGTGGGCGGGGCTGGCTGCCCTTGGAGAAAGTGCCTCCAGCGCTTGGGGTGTTGGGTGGGGTGAGGTCCCAGTGAGCCAGCAGGGCCCAGCTTCCAGACAAGTCAGATTCAGATTTGGCTGTGTGGGGGCAGGCTCAACATAGGAAAGATGGCACCCACCTGCTGACTGCAAGGGAGGAGGACCTCCTCTCAGGGAAATGGTGACTGTCCTCCAGCCCTCAACCTGGAACAACACAAGTCTGCTCCCATATGTCTCTGACACCCCTGAGTTACTGTTCCTCAGCTGTAGCACAAGGTGAGTGTGTGGGAGTGAGAGAATCTGTGTGCAGGCCCTTTAAGAGGATACCTGGGTTTCTCACAACCTTCCATCCTACCTGGATTGTTGGAATTGTTTTTCACAGCCAGATGTTGTGGGGGCTCATCTTCTTGGCACCAGTACTCTGGGTTGGGTAAACTGGTGTGGGGCTGGGGTCCCTTATTCCTCCAGGGGGAACCTCTGCAGCCGAGCTATCCCTCCTGGTTCTTAACCACCACATGGAGGTTTGGGGTTAGCCAGTTCTGAGTCTCTGTCTTTTCTACCAATCTCAGCGTATCTTCTTTATATCCTTAGTAATAAAACTTCTGTTCAGGCCAGCTTCAGATGGTTTTCCAGGTGATCTATAATTTAGTTGTAATTTTAATGTGTTCATAGAAGGAAGCAGGCACAGTGTTTTTCGTATATGTGCTGCCGAAGCGAGCACGGGCACAGTGTTTTTCTACTCCATCACCTTGGATCTCCTCTACCCACCTGATTGTGCTTTAATTGAGACCTAAGATCTCACATGAATAATTATATTGGAGGAAGCTACATATTTAGCTATACAGAAACTACAGACAGGATCAGTGATGAAAATACTGGCAACATAAGGACAAGAAAGGGAATGAACAAGAGTGAAGTAGAAATATGGACTGAGATGATCTCAAGTGACAGAGAAGAACCGAGTTCACAGAATATTTAAAGACATCATAACCGTGGACAAGGGAAGACTAATAGAGTGACGGAATTCATGTCAAACACAGAAGCTGAAAAAAAGGAGGATGGGGGATTCAGAGTTTTAGGATCTTTTTTGGTCAAATTTAAGATGAGTGGGTCCTGTAGCAAATTCTTCTCTATCTCAAATTTCACATCTCAAGTATATTATATCATAGCAAAATTCATGTCTGTCTCTGTCTCTGTGTCTGTCCATATATTAGCTCCCATTTAATGAAAATTTACTATTTGTCAGGTTACTTAACTGAAAACCTTACAGTAATGCCAAAAGGTAGTTATTAGTATTCCCACTTTAAAGGCGATAGAACTGAAGCTCAGCAAAGATATAAGCATTGCTCCAGATCTCATAGCTTGTAAGTGGTGGAGTTGGGTTCTGAACACACATGTCTTAATTCTATATTCCACTCTTTCTGCATTACCTGTTTTAATGTGTTATTCACCAGGTGTTAAAATTCTATATAATAAAAGCATTCAGATTTTGAATCACTATATCTATAAATGGCCTTTAGATACCATTGTATCTAAATGACTTTGAAATTATAGAACATTTCAGAAACTTAAATTAGATAGAATCTTACTTGGTGTCCAAATGGTAGGTCTCACTCATGGTAAGCTAGGAAATCAGAGAAATTCCCTCTTGACTGTTATAAGAACAAGGGAAAAATGTGAAAAAGCATAATTTTCCTATTGAAATTGTGGAATAAGCCAAACATACATATTTCCCCTGGGGTGAGAGGAAAGCAACTTTTGGTTGTGGGACTTGACTTACCACTTTTTTCTTCTCAGTTTCCAGCTCCATTTCCTTCTTCTCTTGTTCACGGATTTTTTTGCGCTGTTCTACATATTCCAAGTGCCTGACTTCTCTTTCAAAGTAGTGGCTCACACTTGATGCCTGTTAGAAACACAGGCCCATGAGAGAGGAACCCCTATGGAAGCCCCTATGGTCTTCATAGGGCTCTGGAAGAATTTCTTTTGCTTATAATTCATCAGATACATTACTACTTTGGAATACTGCCCACAGGCCCACTACCAGAGAAACTAGCTCAATATGGGGGCTACTGTGCTCAGTTTTAGGGCCCTGCAAATTAGAGGATTCCAGGAAGGGAGTGGGGTTAGAAGGAGAAAGTTGCAAATTTTGTAGAAGGAACGTTCATTTTGTTTTAAATTTTTTTTCCTCTTTCCTTCCATCTCACTTCTAACACTGAGGGAAGTTTCATACCATCAACAAAATTTGAAAGACCTAGATGATATCAATGTAGACCCTAAAGGGACTGGGAGCAGAGTTGAGTTTCTGATCCCCTGGAGGGCTTAGCATGTAGACAGGATAGTAAGCAGACCTTGGGCAAGGTGACCAGGGAAAGCTTTTTGTCTTACAGTAACTAGGCTGATGTTGTTGGGACTTGCAACAGATTGTAATCTATATATTTAATGTTGGGTGTATGCATATTTATGTATTTCTATTTATTCATCTTTTTATAACCTTATTACCATTGCTTGAAACCCTTAGGTGTTGGGTATGGTGGGGCAGAATATTGTCACTTTCAGATGTGCTGGTTTCCATACATCAAGTTGGGGGAGGATGGGTGATGACTGGTAATGGAAAGATGCATAAGAATTCAGCTGTGCCCTCTGGGAAGGGCATCACTGAATTAAAGGTCCCACTTTGGTTAGATCCTGAAAAGAACATCTTAAGATTATGAATCTCCAAATCAATTCTCCTCTGAACCTGGGTTTTATGTACTTGGCCTCCCTCTCATCGCATGTTTGGGTTTTTTTTTTCTTGCTTCAAACTATTTAATTCATAAAACAGAAACACACCTCCTTAGGTTTGACAGTACTGATTCTTTTGTTCTCTTATAGAGCAAAAATGCTGTCATTTCTGAACACACTTTTAAAACATGCCTCAGCAATATTCAGTCCCACAACTCCTCAAAGCCAAAAGCTACTGACCTCATTGGCGGAAGGGCGACTTAACGTCCAAGGGATTTCTAATATATGCAGTGTTCCATAATAATCGCCCACGGCTATGAATTGCTGCTTAGCTGAAAGATTAAAAAAAAATGGGGAGAAAAGCAACTCAGCAATCAGAAAGCCATCTTAGAGGTTAAACATGAAATGTGGTTTTGCTTTGTGGCCTCCCAAAGGGCCTGCTGTGCTTATAATGATCTTGACATCTTCATCAGACATTCATGACTGGGGCCCACATTAACATGTAAAAGTTATTTTTTTCCAGTAGATGAAATGAGAACCGAGACCCTAAGCATTTGGCAGCCACCCTGCCTGCCTCAAATCTTTTCTTCGTGTTTGTATAAGGAGTGTGGCTCCTAGCTGAGGTTGACTCTCTGGAGCAGGGGACCTTGGGCAGACTTGAGAACAAAGCAGCGACAACACATGGAAAGATTTTCAAAGAAATATCATGAAGCCAATTTCCACCAAAGACACAGTAAGGGCTAAAGGGTGCCATTATGCAGGTGAATTTCAAAGACACAGCCAACCAGTTTTCTTATTTAAAAAACCAGTGTTTCCTTTGAGCATTTAAAATGGATATAAAACACAAATGTGTTTGAGACTTTTAATTTTCTATCTCATCATGTGTTTTTACTTCTCATTTTCAGAAGGTCTGGTTCAAAATGCTAAATCCTAGACTCGTAATCCCTGTGGGTATACAAAAGCAATGTTTTTATAGCAAAGATAGGAAAATACACTTTGGTGACACAGCTAAGCAGTACTATCCAGAGATCCTGAAATCTAAATTTCTAAGTGTAATGTTTCTGAGAGAGAAATGCATAGGAAGACAATTTTATGCCTGCACACCTTTGGAAACAAAGGGAAACTTCTTTTAAAAGAGGCAAATATATTGGATTTACATAGAAAGTAGTACTTGGCTGAAACAGAAAAATTGGGACAAAGGAAATAAATTATCAGAAGAAGATGAGAAGGATGCTTTTCATCGTGTGGTCCAAAATCAGCCTCTGCTTGGCATCCTAAATGTGTCTCAGAAATAATCGTTGATGAAGAAAACAGTGAGAGAAACTTGGGTGGTATCCAAGATATGATTGCAAGAGAGAAGGGGAAGAATGGGAAGGAAATAGAGAAGGAAAACAGAAAGAAAGGAAGAAAGAGAAAGAAATGGAAAAAAAAAAAAAAAGCCTGAGAAACAACAGTGGAGGCTTTCCAGAAGAAAGTCAAAATTTTCCTGAGTTACACAAAAAAGGCAAAATGACTTAGCACATTTGATCAGAATTAACATACCAGAAAAGGCCCAGGGTTTGATGGAGGTGATCATGGTTATACAGATGTTCTGTGACTGGGCTGGTTCGTGGGTTTTCTCCAGAAGGTCCCAGATATCTATGTAGCCGTCTTCTCTGCCAATATAGAAGACGCTGGGCCTTGTCAGGGACCAGTGCCCTGCCGTGTACCTTTTTGGTACACAACACGACTGCAGGAGGGGTCCAGTCTTCAAACAATTGTTTTAAATAACAAATTAAAAGCTTCTGTTATTATTGAAGGGACATTCACAATGATTTTCAGTACAACTCGGATAGCTAAGATCATGTAATAGCAAAATTATGCCCACTCAGAAGTCCTATTTCTTTTTCTTGTAGGATTTTTATATGATGCCAGCTCTTTTCTTTTCTCTATGTTTTTACAACATCTTTAATTATCCCCTTATTTACTTACTCTTTTGGAAAAGAGCAAACTTTCCAACTGAGCTGTTGATGGTTCTAATAACCCAACTGCTACTAGTAACCCATTGCTATTTATATGGAGATGGGTGTTTAGATGAGTGAAGATTATAAGGAAATTTTGCTTATAGGTTTATTTTGCTTTCGCGTGTCTGCTTCCCATGGAGACAGTGCTGGTAGCCAGGAAAAGCAAATAAAAAGTCAACTCCAGCTGTAAGCTGCATCCAATGGCTTCAAATTTTATTTGGAAGAGATTTTAGGCTAGCAAGGCATCAAGATCATCTTATCCTTTCTCTTCCATGGGTAATTTGCCTTCTTTGGGAGGTTGCAATAGAGATAGAAGATCAAAATGTGTTTTCTTCCCACTGTCATGCTCCACCTGGCAACCAGGTGTACTCATGATCTATTTATGTCTGCAGGGACTAAACTAAACTGTAGCACTGTCTCCCACCCTTCATTACATGCATAAGAATCTTTCTGTGGGGGAATGATGAATGTCTCAGATTCTTGGACCCCTTAGAGGTGACACTCCAAACCTGCTCTTGCCCACTTTGCCTGCATCCTTCAGTTTCTGTGGATAACCAGGTTCCTGACCTCTGCATGGTCTTTAGACAATCTTGCCTAACTTTTCTTTTTCTTTTTCTTGAATTACAAAATAAATACTTGCTCAATGTACAAAAAAATGAACATACAGCAGTACTGTTGTATAAAGTAGAAGTCTATTTGTAGACAGGCACTCAAATGGTTTCCAGTTTTTTCAGTGAAACACTTGTACATACATATATTCACATGAACTTTGTTTTGGAGGTTTGTGTTAGAGTTTCGGAAGTGAAAGTGTTAGGTCAAAGAAAAAAATTTATATAAATTTTATACTTATGAGGTCTGACAATTAAGTTCGCAAACTGTTGCAACACCGTTGCTAACTTTTTTGATATCAGAGGGGTTATTCTTTATGAATTTGTACCAACTGGACAGTTAACCAAGTTTACTATTTGGAAGTGCTGAAAAGGCTGCGTGAAAAAGTTAGACGGCCTGAACTTTTCACCAATTTATGGCTCTTGCATCACGATAATGCACCAGCTCACATGGCACTGTCTGTGAGGGAGTTTTTAGCCAGTAAACAAATAACTGTATTGGAACACCCTCCCTACTCACCTGAT